TCAGACCCTCCACAGGGTGAGACCGACGTGGTCTAGTAAGGTCTAGAGAGGGTTAAAACCCTCAGACACTGGTCCGATGCCCACTGCCGGACCTAGGGTGCAGTCCGACGCCGCCACGCATCATGCCCTCGCTCACCCACATGCGCGGCACTAAATGAACAGTGCACACAGTCGGTCCGACACCCCACGAGCCCCGATCTGACGCCACCTCCTCTCTGTGCACGCGTTAGCGCGTTAGGGTCAGCCATCGGACCTAGCGAGCAGCCGGTCCAATGCTCTGTGAAATAGGGTTCGATGCCTCTTGTTTCAACTCCTTTTGATCTTGAACTTCACCACCCTTGCTCAAACGTGCTAATCACCAAGTGTATCACCTTGTGCACGTCTATTAACCCATTTTCACAAACATTTTCAAGGGTGTTAGCACTCACAAGAATCTAAATGCATATGCAATGAGTTAGAACATCTAGTGACACTTTGATACGAGTTTCACCCCTCTTAATAGTACGGCTATCTATCCTAAATGTGATCACACCCACTAGGTGTCTTGATCACCAAAACAAAATGGCCCTATGGATATCACCTTTGCCTTGAGTCCATTTTGTTTTTCTCTTTCTTCTTTTCCAAGCCCGAGCACTTGATCATCACCATGGCTACCATCACCATCATCATGATCTTCATCATTAGCTCCACCACTTGGAATGTGCTACCCTATCTCATGATCACTTAGAGTAAAAGAGTTAGCACCTAGGGTTTCATCAATTAAGCAAAACCAAACTAGAGCTTTCACCATAGGCTTAGCCCCCCAAACCACCATGTACCCGACCTCTCTCGGTATATAAGGGATAGATCGGATCCTAAGAGGGGGAGGATGATCCCAGACAGATCATTCGCATCCTCATCGTTCTGCTCGAGCTTGGCATGGAGAGCAGAGCAACCCAAAGAGGGGCACCGAGAGCCCATCAACCGCATCCACCGTCTTCCTCCTCTCCGACGAGGGGGAAGGCTCCACTGGCGATGAGGCGACCCCAGGATCAGCACCAAGCGATCCCCTACCAAATGTCTCTTTTTCCCCCTTACACTCTGTTGTAAACCCCCCCCCCCAAATTTTGGGTGCTCTTGAGTATAAGGATCATCAACTGCTGGACATAGAGCATTGATTGGCCCAAACCAGGATAAACCGTTGCGTCCCCTCTGTGATTCTTGTGTTCTTGAGTCCACTAGAGCCACCCGAGACACGCACTCTGACACCACCTCGAACAACAATGCTTGCCGCAGTTCTGATCCCGCGACACTGGTGATGAATTTTTTTGGCAAACTCATGTTGTGGTCTTCCATTGTAAATAAACAGACCTAAAGCTTGATCTGGTTATAAAGGAGAACATGGTTGGAGTTTAATCAGGAGTGGGGAATGCAATTGGGGTTGGACTGATGATTTTGTATAGGCCACAAGAAGTTGTGGGCGGTGGCATGGCAATCCAACGCCAGAATTCCCTCACACAAACATGCATTATGTCTCATCGCTATAGAAGGTGAGGAGAGTACCAAACCATAACGTTAGAGCATATAGATCGGCATAAGACAGGAATGGTAAGGATTGAATTTTCTAGCTAAGATCAGACTATTAAAATCCACTATACCACAGCCAATCTGTAGCGACTCCAAATCGGTCGCTATAACTTTATAGGGACCGATGTATAAGTAGCTATAAGTGGCGTCGCTATAAGTCTATAGCGACCGACATGGTTTATAGCGACCGATAGTTGGACTCAAATATTTATACCGACCGATGATCTGTTACATGTTTGAGCGACTAATGGTTTGAGGATATCAAACTTTTTAGCAACCAATAATCCGTCGCTATGAATTGACACAATTATGTATAATATTATTAATTTCATATTAGCCATATTTCAAACCTAATAAACATCCATAACATGTCACATTATTCATCAACCACATACATATGTAAACCATAGCTGCCCACAACACTCATCAACCACATTATCAGATAAAGGTATTTCTCAAGTCTTCATTTAAGCCAACATTTAGCAATACACCAAGTTCTATCATCTTGATCCATGACAGGTCATCATTACAAAAGGAAAAGTACACATACAACCTAGCTAGGTCAAATGACAGGCACAAGTCATATGTTTGTTTGCACAATCTATCTAGATTCACTATAAAATGCCTTATCTCTCCATCTTATCAAAAGCAAAATGTCATATGTTGGCTTCCTGGTGACAGCATCATGTACACCCCCAAGGCCTCCCTCAACCTAAAACATCAAGAAGGTATATAGAGTTCCTAGTACCCTGTTCAATACAGTTCCATCAGTTATAGACTACATTCTAGTTATCAGTAATCCATTTTTCAATTCACATGCTCACTGGAATACCTTAAAGGTGCTAAAATGCTTACTCACATGTGTTGTATTCTTATTGAAACAGAACCAGATTTCATCTAAGGCATAGGAAAATATTCAGGTGCGAAATCAGAGTATATGTGTGCATCCAGGTAATTGATGAATTAAGATTTAAGAAATTAATTCCTAGCAAGGTCAGCATATCTTTGTTCCGCTATGCACATTTACTTGCCTTTAATTTGGCATTGTCTAGTTAGATATACTATTGACAGACCTGTACCTTATTTAATCTAGTTTCTAGAAAAAAAAAAGATATTGCAGATACATGTTTGAGGTGTAATCAACTATGCAAAGAAAAGCTTAGTATACTAACAGTTATGTCATTTTAATTTTGAGGTGCTAATGTTGAGGTACTGAAATGTACACTCCATTTTTTATGGCCGTTAGCAGCGCATTGACTTAGGATCTCCGGATTACAGTTTCTTATCTGCAGAAGGTTCTTCATACAGCGAAGGAAAATGTTCAGGTGCAAAGTAAGAGAAGAATGCATAAATAGACATGTTTATTTGACAATACATATGCATTGAGTCAAGTGACCAACAAGGCAACAACCATACAAATATTTTTAAGGATCAATCTATTCAGTGACCTAAGAATAACATACCCAAAACACCTTGAGGCGATCTTGATTCCTTCCTAACCGATTTTGATGTCTGTTGCTTAACCATCAATTGTCACAAATATCGGTAATTATAAGTTTGACCAATTGTCATATATGAGAAAACAAGAAATGAGGACGGCGGCCGGGGCAGAGATGGTGGCGCCCCAGCGCGAGCTTGCAGCAGTGGTGAGTCCGTATGTGACGAGCGGCGCTGGGTGCTGGGTCCGTGAGGTGTGAGAGTCGTGAGATGAGATGGCGGCTGATGGGGGTGGTTTGGTGGTGGAGTTAGGGTTTCGGGCGACACTATGACGATGGGCCACGCAAATTTCACTTCACACGAGTGAGCTGGGCCGAGCGCACCAAAATGAAACCAGGCTATAGCGACCAATTGTTGGACCTTAATATGCATTTTTAGCGACTGATTGTCTGAGGAAACTGCGGAATATATACACCCACCGATTATTCATCGGTACAAAGAAAAATAGCGACCGATACTCCATTAGAAATTTGTAGCGACCAATTGTTGGTTGTTAATACTATGTTTTAGCGACCGTTGTCCGACACTAGTTGTTGCTGTGGTATAGTGATCATAGAAATGACATGGCTCTATGGTTCAAGTTTTATAGCAATCAATGATCGCTAGTGGCCTCCATCTATATAGGTACACGGGATAAAAAATAAAATTTGCTAACATACGGGTCTAACATGTCATATATAAACTTCTGCCGAATTTTAATGTTATTGCAATCCAAACATACATTTTCCTTTTCAATTTACTGTGTAATTCTAAAAAAAACTTAGGCTAGGCCATAAACGAAACACATTTTATTGTCCGTATTTTGATATTGCTCCAACTTTAATATGACTAAATTTTGACGGGGATTTTAGGATCAACAACCAAATAGATTCTAAGATTAATAACCTCATGTTAGGGCCTGTTTGTATCTCATTTTCATATTGAGATTCTAGATTGTAGATAGTGAATGTAGAATCCAAATTCTAGATAAAAAAATAAAGGGTGTTTGGATCTCATTTTTATAGTGCATAGTGGAAAATTCCAAATAGTAGGTTTGAGGTAGATAGAGTTGGAATTCTAGAATCCAAATGTTTGTATCATCCTCATTTTTCTTATTAGGAGATCCAAAAATCCTTTACTTTTGGAGCAAAGGATTTTGGCACAAGTTTTTTTTAGAAAGATTTTGGCACAAGTTAATAGAATCATTGCCATACACTTGGCCTCATACAAAGCAAATACTATGAGAATATTGGTGTATTAGCTCCATGTGAGGCCCAATGGAAACAAAATCAAATTATAGGCCGTAGCCCATGACCAGGCCCAAAGGAAGACGTCCATGGGCCACGTGGCGCCGCTGCAGATTTCTTTCTAGCGCGTTCAGTTTCTGTAGTGCCTACCAAAGTCGTCGTCGTCGAGCCGGCCAGCTGCCAAGCCAAGCCAAGAAGAACGCCCCCAATCAAATGAAGAAACCAAATCATGATCCTTGCGAGTTGCGACCATTTCAAGGATACTTTTACACCTACTCGGTTAATATAAGGTCACGCAGATGCAGGCAGCCGTCAGCAGAAGATGCCCTCGGCTAGAGTGCAGCAGCGGCAGCAAATAAAAATCGTTATCCGGCGTTCACATGCGCCACCACCACCCAGCAATCCGCCAACCCGTGCCGTGATCCTTCCGATGCCGATCCCCACCTCCAATGGCAGGCGCCATCCGCTTCACATGATCTCACTGTCACACGCTTCGAGCCGCTTAGCTGTGAGCCTGTGACCGTGAGCCCCTGCTTGGCTGCTTGCTAGACGCCGAGAACCCGAAGCCTGCCCTGCCCGTTCTCTGATCCCTTGCACAGTCGCGGTGCACGTGCCTCCCGATCTGTCATCCTCTCGCTCGCCTTCTCCTCTTCTTGGCCTTGTGTCGACTGCTGCTGAGCACAGACCACGGTCTCACATACTCGGATTCGGATGGCGACAATGGCAGGGCGTCTTGTTGCCCGGACGTCCACGTCCAAGCGCCAGCAGCTCAGCTTTGCTGTTCTCCTCCTTGTCCTCTTCCAGAGCTCGTGCTGGTGCTGCTACGCGGCGACGGTGGGTTACAGTTACAGCGAGCAGGAGGGCGACCGGGTGGCGTTGCTCCCCGGGCAGCCGAGGAGCCCTCCGGTGTCGCAGTTCGCCGGGTACGTCACCGTGAACGAGCACAACGGGAGGGCGCTCTTCTACTGGTTCTTTGAGGCTCAGACGTCGCCCGCGCACAAGCCTCTCCTGCTCTGGCTCAATGGAGGTTCTTGCTTGCCTTCAGCTAGTTTTTCATTTTCTTTCTTTACTTTTTTAGTTTCGATGTTCAATTTTCCACGAGACAGGAATTCAGAGCATGCACAACGAATGACAGACCAATCGATGTATTCCTTGTGTCTAGTTCACTGTAAGTAGTTAGCTCACGCTCTGCAATGGTAGTAACCTGCAATGTGCAGGGGTCATTGATCAGGAATACTAGCAGTGCTCTGGACCTTCGCCTGTCCTACGAATGTTTTGTGCAAATTATCTTATTGTGCTTGCAGTTCTCTGCATTCTTCAGGAAAAAATAATGTACAAACTATATTTCTGCATAACATGCAGGACCTGGTTGCTCATCAGTTGGGTACGGAGCTGCTTCTGAGTTGGGGCCTCTCAGAGTCACTAAACACGGGGCAGGGCTTGAGCTCAACAATTTTGCGTGGAACAGAGGTGCCAGAACCAGCTTTTTCTCTTTTGGCTGGCAAAAGAACACTGCAATATAACCAAGCAAAACTGATAAGTACCTTTTATTGCTCTTGCCAGAGGCCAACTTGCTCTTCCTGGAGTCACCTGTTGGGGTTGGCTTCTCCTACACCAACACATCCTCTGACCTCACCAAACTGGATGATGCTTTCGTAGGTACTTCCAGTATTCTTTAGGGAGTTTGTCTTTGCTTCGTCATTGTTTTCAAAATGTTTAAGATGTGTGCGTGTGGAGTCATTTTTTTTTTTTTTTTGTAGCTGAAGATGCATACAGCTTCCTAGTAAATTGGCTCAAGAGGTATCCGCAGTACGAGGGCCGCGAATTTTATATCTCCGGGGAGAGCTATGCAGGTAATTCATGACATTCCTTTATCCAACAAAAAAAGGTAATTCTTGACATGGGCTTACCATAAAAAATACCAATAGTTGTTTTGTGATTGTCAACAAAGAACAATGTGGTGCATTATTTTTCACGTAAGAAAACATAGTTGCCCTCCGAACCATGGTCTCTAGTGTTAAGTTAAAACGTGGCAACCCTTGAAATTCTACATTCCAGTATTCCTATAGATTAAAATCTGGAAACTGTTCTGACGCTGAAAGTTCGGCTATACGTGTCTTTTACAAGTCCAAATTTTGATCACTACTGATAAGGTCCAGGAAAGGAAGGCGTAAAATTAGCTTTATGTTCAAGCATATGAATCTCTTCCTACAGAATCTCTTCCAGTTTACAAAATGTTAATGGTGGGTAAAAGTGCAATGTGTACATTTAGCATTCTACTTTAGTGTGACATCTCATTTTCCAAAAGTAAAAACTTCATTACCGCAGGTTTCAGATTCCGTGCCTTCTTTCTATAAAGACACAGGAATTTAAGGTTTCTTCATACCACGTCATTAGGCCTTTATAGATTGTATGGCATTGCGGGAATGTCCACTGGCCATGGTATCTTTGATAGCGCACAAATTCGTGGAGCAAAACTATTCCTTTTCCTCTGCGCATCACTCAAAAAGAATTTTGAATGAATGCAGGTCACTATGTGCCACAACTTGCTGAACTTGTCTATGACAGGAACAAAGGCAAGACCAACACATACATCAACCTTAAAGGTTTCATGGTGAGAATCTAAAGAAAGCATCCTTTGACTACCGAATCTAGCCTTCTCCTTCTATTTGACAATTAGCTGATAGTGACAAGGTAGCTAAGAAGTGAATAGAAATTTTATTTATGCTTTACATGTGAGAAACATTATCTATTTCTTGAAAATGTACTTGCATCTATAAAAATTACCAAAAAAGGGGCACTGCCACTTCTCTGTAAGACTGTAACTATAATTGTGCTCCACTTTCATGAAACAGTTCATAGAAATGTAAAGTTCTAGTAGGAAAAATGTTCTGTGATGCTTACACAATAATTTCAAAACGTTACATGCTGTAACATTTGGATTGTCCCATTGTAGGTCGGTAATCCACTAACTGACGATTACTACGACTCGAAGGGGCTGGCTGAATATGCTTGGAGCCACTCAGTAGTGTCAGATGAAGTTTACGATCGCATCAAGAAGGTCTGTGATTTCAGGATCTCAAACTGGACCGATGATTGTGATAAAGCCATGAACACTGTGTTCAGCCAGTACCAAGAGATTGACATTTACAACATCTACGCGCCCAGATGCAATCTTCCTCCGTCATCAGCTGCACTTGCTGTTGATCAAGAATTCGTAGCTAACGATCAGGTGAGCAACAGTTAGCTCAAAGTGTATGCTCTGTTCTGAACTCCTGACGCTTTTTCTTACATGGTAGGAACATTTCAGGAGAAGGATTAGGATGTTCTCGGGATATGACCCATGCTATTCTTCGTATGCTGAAAAGTACTTCAATAACGCAGATGTGCAGAGAGCATTCCATGCAAATGTCAGTGGAACTCGAAAATGGCAAGTTTGCAGGTGAATCACACTCAATTTGTTGTGACGAATGTCTTTACATAGTGCTTATATTTCATTGAAAACTGAACAAAGTAGTAATTAGGGAAACATTGGCATGGTTAAACTTTATAATTTATTAGGAAAAATTAGGCAGAGTTAGACATGAATGTGAATTTGACTTACTTTTATTTTCATGTACCATGCAGTGATTCAATTTTAAGGTCATACAATTTTTCGGTACTTTCCATCTTACCAATCTACTCTAAGCTTATCAAAGCAGGATTGAGGGTCTGGCTCTACAGGTATGAATATGATTCCTCTTAATCATTTCTCAGTCCTCCTATTGTTACAGAATATACCCTGTTCTTACTTATCCATGTACAGATATTTTACTCTTGGAAAACACTTGCTGAACCTTTCTGAAACATAATACTGTACTTGTGATCTCCGGTAGCTTAAGCCTTTAGAGTAGATTTTATCAGTGTTGGCGACTCAATGATAATTGAGTCTATCCTCCATGCAGTGGTGATGCAGATGGTAGGGTCCCAGTGATCGGATCGCGGTATTGTGTGGAAGCCCTGGGCCTGCCTGTTAAGACACAGTGGCAACCTTGGTACCTGAACAAACAGGTCAGTTGTTGACTATTTTCCAACTGTTACCTTTGATACTGTTGTCAGTTTTGTATTGTGGTACCACTAATGCGGAGGACACGTACAATATTGTAGGTCGCGGGAAGATTTGTGGAGTACCATGGCATGACAATGGTGACAATCAGAGGAGCTGGTCATTTGGTGCCCCTCAACAAACCTTCAGAAGGTCTCGCACTTATCGACACATTCCTTCAGGGCAAACAGCTTCCCACACACAGATGACAAGAGTGTTTAGGGTGGGTTATTTTTATTTCAAAAACAAAATCTCAAGGATTGAACAACTTATGTGCGCCACACAAGGGCTAATTAGTATGCATTTCATTTCCAGTTGCTGCATGAATTGGGTTGGTTACAAATAGAGCCATACTCAACTGGATACTGGTTACATCAATCTCAATACCGGTTATCTCTTCTTACTTATTCAGCATATATCATTCTGGTAGCAGCCCTCAGTTATTTTTTGCCGGAAGTTGTGTGTCGGAAAGGAAGGATTTGATTAGCACAAGTGCCTCTGCTGGCTTATCTTGTGGAACTGTATGACCTGCTCCTCTGACAGTGGCCATTGTCAGCCCTTCATACTCAACATACCTTCCAGCAACCTGTAATGAGTTTCTTTAGCATCCTTTCAATACCATTGACCAATGCATGAACTCTGAAATGCAGTTTTCAGCTTACATGAAAAATATTAAATGAATAAATATGGAAAGTTTTGGGCTTGTAGTAGGGTGGCCGACCTGATTTTTTAGATACCATGGTTGCCACTGTGACTTGATAGGAAGCCCAAGTGCGTCTACCCAGTAGCGGGATCCAATAACCGGAACCCTGCCATCCACATCTCCGCTGTAAAAGAGTAACTATAATGAATTTAATTTGATCAATATCCAAACATGCACAAAAACAGGCCCCAAGTGCATGTCTAGCAGTTAGGACTTCATCCATGCATCCAAAATACAAGGACTTCTAGCGTTTAAATTTTATCCCAAATATAAAAACATTTGAGAACCCAACCCTACATAAGCTAATCCTCGCGACATGCTACAAGTTAATTTTATCCCGACCAAGAGTGTTATGGGCTAGCAATCTCAATCTCAATATTACTAACTGGAGGTCTCTAACAGTGCATTCCCATGTTAATTCTCACGATGCATTGAAAAAGGATAAATTGTAGAAGTTCTCATAAAAATCAGAGAGACCTGGCCATCAATTGTAGACTCTAATCACCATTGACAATAATAGAGATCTATTTTATTTTCTAAAGATTTACCGACATTATTTACCATTATGAAAAAAACAAAATGGAATCCCTAAATCAGTGTCCAAAGTACCCAACTCTCATATTATAAAGCATATTCTAAAGTAACCCCTAAACTTGTAACTAAATTACCCATATCGCAATTAGTAAGTAAACTCAATATTATCTCAAATCTAATCTAAATTAGCAACATATTTTTATATGATATTATGGGAAAAAAGGTTTTAAATAGCCATAAGGTATGCCTACATATTTTTAAGTTACCCACTTGTATCACTAGTAATAGATAAAAACTAACTTAAATATACACAATGTGCCATATATAGATCAAATATACATGCATACATGAGCAACAAATACATATACTTATGTTTTAGCAATAATGACTCATATACTAATGGCACTAACATTTCATTTGAAATATATTCCATAATAATAATAAACTCTATAAGTTATTACTTTAGATAAATATATTTTTTTACAAAAAATCATTATTTATCTATATTAATAGTATATTTGTAAGAACTCTATTTTTGTTAAAAAAACAATATTACATATATAATTCTTTGATAGAGAAAATTAATAAATATCTTGAGTAATGGAGGAGGTTAGTTCAAACCAAAAGGTGCCCTGGTTTTTCAGATTCAATTTGGATTACACAATCATTTTTAGACTTAAATATCAAATATTCTTTTGAGGTTCGCATTGTTCTACAATCTTGAGCGCCATTGTGTAGGCTTAAATGACGTTTTATGCCATTGTGGTAATTAAGGGTGCAGTCTATAAGCTATGATCCTTATTCTTAATAAAGTACAAAATGAGTTTTTATTAAAATATACATATACAGATAAATATTTTGTAGAAACTCATAAATCAAAAATTTAAAATTCAAATCTAGATCTATGTTATGACAAAGGCAAAGCATGCAAAGAAGAGCCACCATAATTTAATCTAAAGTTTCAATGAAAAAATATTTAAATTAAAACATAGAGATCATGCGTAAGAAGAGAAACTATAGATATGATGAAGAAAATACAAAGATTCTAGCCTAAGTAGTAGTAGAAATTGATAGACTAGTTAAGCCAATTAGTCGCAACCAAGATTAGCCCCATCATTGGGCCACAATTAAGCCAAATAAGAGTGGTCCCGGATGTTTAATAAGCACTGCTACAAAACATACATATACTTGTAGGTTCCTGTGGGTACTGTGGTATCCCAAATATTTAATGATATTAATTAATTTTGAGTGGAGACAAAATCAACATCCAAATTATAATAGCCGACGAGATCTACAACTTTATAGTTGTTTTTTTTATTTGAGATTATTTAAAGTGTCAAATATATACAATCCTAAATCCATAAATGTGTAGTTAAGATAATAGCGTCGGTTATATAGTCACAAGTTGTTGCGTAGTTGAGATAATAAAGAAGGCTATGGATGAGGCTGTATGTCATTGGTCTGAATTACGAGAAACACACTTTCTTTTTGTAACTATTAACGCCTATATGTGCTTGAACCCATTATCACTACCGGTTTGGAATAGGCAATGATGCCCTGCTTGTCCACTGCTGGTTATAGTCAGTTTGGAACCGGTAGCGATAGTATATTAGTATTCCCTTGTTGCCTAATCTATCCTAATCTTTTCAGAAATTCTTATACTTTGGGCGGATAGAGGGAGTAATCTATCCAGGTTATGTTGTTCCATGCATAAAGCAAGCAGGTGAACTGCATATATTACCTGTAGACCCAAATTCTTAGTCCAGCCTTAATAAGCTTGGAGTAAATAGGAAGAACAGAAAAGACCTCCATGTCGTAGAAGTCAAAAATTGGATCACTGAAACAAATTGTACGGCATATTCTATCTGATTAGTAGGGCATGCATCTCAAGGAAAGTAATAATAATGCTTTTATATTATTATGTCACCTGCAAAGACTCCATGTTCTGTCCTTGATCCGTCCACTGGTATTAGCATGAAGTGATTTCTGAACATCCATCCTGTTGAAGTAAGCTTCAATGTAGTTGGAGTAGCACGGATCGTATCCTGAGTACATCCTCAATCGTCTCTTGGACTTGTTCTAAAATTTGCATCCAGTTTACCTTCAGTTCCTAACTACAGTACATTTCCTCTAGTTGCTGTACCTGCTAATGTATCAACATGAGTTAATGAACACCTCACTAACCTTGGCTTCCTTTTCTACCGCGCTGCGGTCAGAACTAGACGACGACGACGACAGTGCTGACCCATCTGTGTTGCACTTGGGTGCGTACACGTTGTAGATGTCAATCTCATTGTACGTGTGGTATAGAAGGTCCATTACATGACCACATTCTGTGGAAGTGGGTGAGAGCTTGAAGTCACAAACATTTTTTACTCGCTCGTAAAATTGATCTGAGATGACTGAATGGCTCCAAGCGAACTCGACTATTCCCGTGTAGTCATAGTAATCATCAGTCTCTGCATTGCCGACCTATCAAATGTATGTAGGTAAATTTGAGTTCTCAGCTCTTTCATACCTTATTACTCGTTGGAGCAAGGAAAAAAGCAGTAATCAATTGAAAAAAAAAACAAAGAATCAATGCACTTGAACAAAACTTGCACCTACAATCTCTGCAATACAATATGATACATAGCACAATGATTTGAAATGAAAATAACTGCCATAAATTTAATATCTTCACCTGAAGTAAAAGAGTGAGATGGAGGTGTGGTTTCTAATCACTTACAATAAATCCTTTCAAATGGATTTGCTGATTCGCTTCAAGGTGCTTGTTGTGCTCATACACCACTTCTGCAAGCTGTGGAACATAATGCCCTGTTGCATCAAAGTTGGTCAGTGTCTTAATTATAAAAATGATGTCACATGTGTTTCACACATATATTATTGGTGGTTGTAGCTTACCGCATAGACCCTCAATTTTCTTGTGCATGGCCAGTAGGATAACCACCATACTTGAAAACTAATACTTTTCCCCATATATTTTGTTGTCTTATTACACACACTACTTTTCCTACCATGTCAGCCTAATATCATTATTTGTTTTTTACCTTTTCAGTAACAACAAATTAAAAGAAGCATTAATTGTCAACAAAATTAAAAGAAGCATGCATTCAGCTGATTATATTCTGACAAGTCAATCGTATTTTTGAACAGAATAATTCCCATCAACTTGGTTCCGCACCTAACAACGGTAGTGGGACTTTTTGGAATAGGGTCTGCATGTAGTTTAGGCTAACAACCTTTTTGACCAGGGAATAGTGGACAGTGGAAAGATAGAATTTATTCGATCCTGTTTTGCACGCTTACACTACTGATCACTATAGAAAGGCGGTATCCTTTCATTGTGGCCTTGGCCTCATTCAATCTTGCAATTTCTTTGCCGGTAGAAAGGGAGCTGTCTGCCTCCTTATATTAATTATATTATATTACCTGCATAGCTCTCTCCTGATATGTAGAAATCATGGCTCTTGTATTGTGGAAACCTGCTGAACCAGTTCACTAAGAAGGTGTAGGTATCCTTGGCTGCATCATTTCAAAGTTTTAATCAACAAACAGAGCAACGCTTGTTTAATTAGCTTTCTTTTTGTTAAAGAATATGAAGTGAAGATTAATACCGACGAAGCGATCATCGAGGTTGTCTAGGTCAGAAGAAGTATTTGTGTATGAGAAGCCAACACCAACGGGGGATTCCAAGAACAGCAAATTGGCCTCTGAATGAAATTTCAACGAACCAAACGAAAAATGAGTAACAGGATTTTTTTTGAAACTACTACTCTGAACATCACGAACTCTGTGCTAATGTGGACAAAAGAAAAACTGTGGGTAAAAATGAGTTGGGTGCACCCATAAAACATGGTGAGACATCAACTATAGGCGTTTTTTATTCAGAAGGAAAAATTTTGCCACAAGTTTTTATTAGGAGAAAACAAAATTATTTTTAGAGTTTTGAAAACACAAATTTTATTAAAA